CATATACTTTGCGCAAGAAGGAGACAGTAGATTTCACACTCTTTAAATTAAATGTTCTCCAAGTAGTACTTATTATGAGTTCAGGGTGATGAGTATGTTCTTTTGTTTGTTTAATCTGTCAGCTCCGACAACAGTTACTGGAAACTTGAGTGGCCTTAAGCCTGGACTTCATGGCTTTCACGTCCATGCTTTAGGTGACACCACAAATGGCTGTATGTCAACTGGTAATTTTTCTTGTGACCTTTGTCACTGTCTTTTTGTATATGTTAATAGCTTATAAATTTCATTGACGAATGATTGTAATCCTGTTTTCTCAATCAAAATTGTTATCTCACAGTTTCGTTAATTTGATTTTAGGTCCTCATTTTAATCCTGCGGGAAAAGAGCACGGTGCTCCAGAAGATGAGACTCGTCATGCTGGCGATCTTGGTAACGTCAAAGTTGGCGAAGATGGTACATACATTTCCTTTCACAATTAAAAAAATTTGAATGCTATTGTCATTAGATACCTAGGTCTAAATAATTATCTACACTTTGCTAATTGTGATCAATGCCTTTACGCATAAACTTAGGATATACATTCCCTTGTCCCAATTTCTAATTATAGTCAAGTTATTGTGTCCAATTTTTCTTCCTCTTTCAGATTTCCGTGACAAGCTTTTTCGCAATTTCATACTGGAAAGATTCTGTGAATACCTGATGATAATATTACTAGTGAAACGAGAACAAATTACCACATTTTTATAATCTCAGTTCTTGATTTTGACTCATGCGTCATGACTCATGAGTCATGACTCATGAGTGCTTCAGGATATACTTAAAACTAGCATCATCATGTCTTCCGAATATATTGAACTCCCTCGGTGATGTATAACCTCCATATTTTAAATGTTTCAGGCACTGCAACTTTCACTATTACTGACAAACAGGTGGTGTATTCATCACTTTCATAATCAGCTAAATGCTATATGCTTTTCTTACACAATTATTAAACTTTTGCTGTCTCTTTGCAGATTCCACTTTCAGGACCACATGCCATAATTGGAAGGGCTGTAGTTGTCCATTCTGATCCTGATGATCTTGGAAAGGGTGGGTATCGTCTCTCTCATTAATGGCTGAATTTTCGTATGCAATAACCCCGAGCAGGAATTTATTCTTAATAGTAATTAAGGCATTTAAGTGGGAAGTATAGAAGAGGATCAACATGAAATTTCCAGAATATTGTTTCTTTGGTTGATGCAGATAGATGCCAAACACATTGATGTCCTCCATTTCTCTTGCTTAATTATGTTCTTTTCTTGAGCTATTGTGCTTTTGCAATTTTGTTCTCATTTTTATATTGGAAATTTTATTGCAGCAGTGTTTTACTAGTTAATTCTCTTTGTTTCAGGTGGCCATGAACTGAGCAAAAGCACTGGAAATGCTGGTGGGAGAGTTGCTTGTGGTAAGACAATTATTTACCTACATAAATACATTGCTGTGCGAAAGATTTCTATTTACAACGTCGAAAAGGGTGTTTGATCATGTCATTTCAAGTGCATTAACTTAAAATTCTGCATATTTGGATTACTCTATTATGCTTTATAATTATTTTAGCGTACTATTACCCTCCCCGCTAGAGCTTCATCGTGGGAAAGTACTGGTAGTAGAGATGAGGTTACTGTTCAGTCTTTCCAAAATTCACCTACTTTTTGCACACATAGAGGACAATATGGATTGGTATAGTTTCGTTCTTTATCAACTCCGAGACGATGAATACTCTTGTCAATCTTGTGCAGGTATAATCGGGCTTCAGGGCTGAATACTGTGGCGCTGTATCCTTTTTAATCCTGCTCGTTTGCATGGCCTTGCGATTTTGATGACAACTCGGTTATCACTTGGCAAGGATTAAAATAAAGTACTGCGGGAATTTCCATGTTTCTTCATTTACGTAATTTTATTCCTTGTATGCTGACTTCTGAATCTGGTGTTGAACTGAGTACGTTGCCCTTCATGGGTTTGAGTTTGAAATAAAATGGTCATTGTGCCGCGTCTTGTTCTCTCATTTGACTCCAAATGTCATTTAAATATTTTAGGCACTGTTAGCTTCAAAACGCACAAACCAGTGAATCAATCCTAAATTTATCTTAGTTTTCTCGTGAGAGAAAATATTTTGGGTTCGAAAGGATGGATTTCGACGAGTTGATTATAAAACCCAACAAAGATAAGTTTGAGGGAAAAATGTACTTCGACCTAAGATCGCCAATGCCAACCCCAAATCCTTCCTTCCGGACCTTGTCAAAGAAGAAATCTCTAGTTACCTAGATCAATTTCAAAATATGCTATAATACTCTAGCTTAGAGCATCTTGACTTTCCATTTTTAAATATCATATTCTATCATTTGAAGAGCATCTATAAATTTAGAAAGTTACAAATTTGAAGTACTTCAACAAACTTTTTATATTTAACACTTAATTTTACTACTCTCAAAAAATATTTATTATTTTTCTTTATCTTTTATTTTAACTAGCTTTTCTTTAAAGTGGTAATTACATCAAGCCCTACTTTTCAAGATTCAAATTCATAAATCAGATTTCAAGTTTTAATTTTCCAAAATCAGATATTTTATATATAGATACAGTTTTTTATATTTAATTAAATATTAATAATAATATTATAAAAATTAATATATACACACACCCCACCCCACCCCTACCCTACCCTAAATTCAAACTCTAAATTCACGTGTCTCACCTTTCTTTCGCTCTCTCAATCTCTCAGTCTTCTCCTCTCCCTCACCGCCACCACTGCGCCGCCACCATGCCAACCGAAATCGTGTCTTCTCCTTCGCTCTCCCCTCAGCCTAAATCCTCAACCACGGTCTCTGCTGCTATGAAGTGAAACAACCACCGCCAGACTGTTGAGAAGACGCCACACCACCGCGCTCAAATCCTATTGTGCGACCCACGTCGTGCTTCTCCCTGTGTGTGATTTGGAACGGGTCTATGTGGTTTTGATTAATTTGTGACTCTGCTTCATCCTGTGCTCCTCGTCTTCGGCAAGTTCTATCACTACAAATCTGGACCTGGTGCCTGATTCTCGCGGATGTTTGGGTCACAAGTTCAGATCTTGGAATTCGAAGCAGCATGTTTGGTAAAATTGGTATTTGAAGCAGCATGTTTGGTAAAATTGGAGGTCGAAATCGCTTTCATCCTTGTCTCTTGCCCTACAGTTTTTCTATATTGGTTCATTTTCTTGTTTTTGGAAATCGATTTTAGAGTATGATGAAGGACTTGTATATAGAAATTGAATTGATTGATGAAAATAAGGTGGGTGGTTGTGGAGGCGCCATTGGTGTTGATGGNGAAAATAAGGTGGGTGGTTGTGGAGGCGCCATTGGGGTTGATGGTGGGTGTTATTAGTTGTTGGAGTGGTTTTTATTTAGGCTATTTTTATTTGTGGTAGTTGGTGTTATGTAAACGGTGGTGGTGGTGGCGATTGTGCAGATTTTGGACCTTTGTTTTGTGGTGGTCGTGCAGTGATTTTGTTGGTGGCAGTCGTGTTGGCGGGGGTGGTGGTTTTGTGGATCTAATAATTTCTGTGGTGGTGGCGATGATATTTTTGGTGTTGGAGATTGTGATGGTTTTTGGTTCACCGTCGATTGGTGCTGCAGGTGGTGTGACTCAAAAATAGTTAACTGTGACCCTTAAAATTCGAATTGTGACTCAAAATTAATTAAGTTGTCACCGAAAAATTTACCTGTGATCAATTGAAAATAACTTGTGATCCTTATAAAAAAAATAAAAATAAAATAAC